GTCAGAACGCGAAGGGACTTTTATTCTGTTCTACAGGGAATCAGTCCCAAAGCTGCACGGCTAACGGGGAGGATCCTGGACTGGCTGATGGACTCGGGGAAACTGCCGATGTACGGTCTGGCCAGGAGGCTAGAGCTGGAGCTCGCGGTCTGATACCCTTTCCTTCGAAGGCCAAGAGGCCTTCCCACTTTGTATTTGCAGGATCGCACACTGATTGTTTCCTTGATTGTCGATATGGGTTTTTCACCCGGCCCACGAGGGCGCGGTTTTCCTGTATAGTAAGTTGTTGAAGGTCCGGCAAGCCCAAGGGCACAGCGGTGTAGGAATAATAATATTTGATTTATAAGGAGCCTTGGTCTATAGCTAGGACGTCCCCGCCGGTTTCCGGGTGGCGTACAACCATCAGCTGAATGTCCTCGTAACACAGCGCTTTTGAGCATCCTCAGCTCTCGTACTCTTGCGACATCATCTCTTCCAGCAGCCTAAAATGCTCATCTGTGACGAATCTCAAAGTCCCAACATCTGAAATGGACTCCTGAAGGTTATAATTGACAACGGGGGAGGTTCGGTGAAGCCAAAGGGTTCACAACAAGCAATGTCCAAAGGTACCGACATTCTTGCACTTGAGTTGCTTACTGGAGAACTCCCAGAGTCCTCCAGAACGAGTGACTATATACTTGGTAGAGAGTTCATGATCGCCCATGATCGCAGTCTACCAAGAGCTATCCTTGATCGCCTTGGGTAGCCAGCTACCCAAGTCTACCCTTGATCGCCCGGCCCCCACGGCTACCGTGTGGGCCTCGTGCGGTTCCTGCAGTTCTGTCTTGTGCCCCACTGGGCCTGTACATATGGTTGGTTCGTGACATCATCAGACCCCTTATCTTCGTCTCTAGGGAGACTCCCAATAGCGTGCCGGGGGAAGAGCTCCTCGAGACACCTATCCTTGCCGCTCTTTCTCTCGCCGTCCACAAACTCGGCCGGCTTGGCCCCCGTGAAGGCAAGGCCGAGGTAGCACCCTATCAGCTGGATACGGTGCCTCTCCCGAGAGAAGATGCCGGTGTCATACTTGATATTGAACGTCTATAGGACCAGCAAGGTATCTACATTTACAACGTCCTTTCCACGGGTGTATGGTGCTTGCAGGCCGTACCTCGGGACCGAATGGCATCATGCCACCTGCAAGACATATTAGCTACTACGTCGGTGTACGAGGGGCTGGGGATATACCTTTTTAACTTCTTTAATATCGTTCCTGTCGATATAGCGGCCTGTGATACTGGCATATAGCTGCTTGTACTGACGGAAGTACCCCTAGGACGAAGCCCACGACCCGATCCTGCTTGTTTAACATAGATATTCGAGAAAATCCATCGCCATCGCTCGGTTTGCTTTCTATATCACCTCTCGCCAGGTACCCGGTAGCTTGGCGAACTCGCAATATCTCGAGATTCATCAGCAAAGATAATCACGGAACAGGGAGGGAGGTGACCAATTTTCGCAGCAAGCCGGCGATGTTGATCTTGGTCTTATCGGCATAGTCGGGCGTAAGGAACTTAGTGTCCTCAAGCTGCTTTCGGAGAGCTGCACGCTGCTCGGCCGTATAAGCTGCTGGCCGTTTTGCAATTTGCTTCTCAACTTCTCGTTGGGTGGAGCGCCGGACGAAATGCGCATTGTAACGCAGGTCTTCCGTGAGCAGCTACGGCGGGCGACGTGCTGGCATGGCGATGGCGTTAAGTGCAGAAGGCAACGCCGCCGACTCTAATAACAACGGCCGACGAGGCGGGAATAACGGGAAGCGCTCGAGCGGCGCCATCTTATATATGTGTGGCTGCGCTGGGAAGCCAAAAACGAATACCAGGTAAAGCGGTTTCCTAGATTTCGGAAACGACTGCTTTCTCAAAACCAACTGCTTTGGACTGGGACGCTTATTGGAGGATGGTGTAGGTAGGGTCGTGGATTCTGCAGCCTGAATGGATTGGAGGGATGCAGCCTGGGGTGAGGCACCAAGTACCTGCCTGTGACCAAGCGCCCCGCACTGTCGAGACACCCGAAAATGACGGCCTTGCCCTGCCAAATTCGGCGACTAAAACAGCAAGTTCTATACTTAAGTTGTAAGTTCTCATCTGAGTGATAACTGTTGATACGTGGCTAAGATTTGGCGTTCTTTTGAAGTGGTAGGCATCTTAGATAGGTAGGAATATTGTCGCTGAGAGCAAAGGTGTCGCGTTTCATAGAAAGTGGGTCATTCACTGATATAGGTCACTCACTGATAATATACAGTACGTTAACCTTCCGATTTTATCATCGGGGGTCAACCAAGATGTGTTCAAACTCTTGTCTGCATTACTGCCAACGGAAACAACACCCCGATGCAGACTTGAACATGACCCAGGATTGATATTGGCATTACCGGTGTGGATCCCAATAACGGGACATGCAAAGAGCTGACTGAGCAGTGTGGAAACATCCTAATCAGCGTTGCCACTCTCGCATCTCCACTTTACATATTCAGAAATGGGCAGGGTTGAGCAGCGGTGACGTATCTTCGCCCAATCGCTTCTCGATCAGCTCATGGTGGAGTTTTACGACAGATGATTAGAAATGAGAGTGGAAAGGGCTCAGGGGCCAATTGCTGCTGCCTGTTGAATACCCGTCAATTGTTATATCGTTCTTACATCCGATTTGTGTCCTTATTCAGCGTCCTGGTCGCTTCTCCTTCGCTTTTGAGTTTCGCTGCGTCGGAGGACATGGTGTGAATATCTGGTTGAACAATAGCCGTCCGAATTAGCAGTTCGGCTGGCCTGGAACCCGTTGTCGATGGAAACCCCTGGTGCACCCGAAAACCCTCGGGAGAGGAGTATATAAGTGTCAGAACAACCCGTTCTCCCAGAGTTCTAGCCAGACAACTCCAATCAACTGTTCCAATCTCAAGTCAAGATGCAGCTCACCACCCTTACCTCCCTCGCTCTCTTGTCGCTTGGCGTGAGTGCCGGCACAGTCAACAAGCGGAACGGCGAGGGCGTCCACCTCGCCAACTGCTACCAGAACTCGCCGCTCGGCCAGGTTCCATTCTCCCAATTCATCTACTATGCAGATGATGCCCAAGCCAGCCAAAACGTCGTCCCCTCAAGCAACAATCAGTGCCGCGTAAACACCCCCGGACAAGGTGGCTTCAAGACGTGGGAGGGCTCTCTCATCAGTTGCTCGTTCCCGACCAACACCTACTTCACGTCCAACATCCAGAGCGGGGCTGGAAGCTACAGTATCGGGCAATATGCCGGGTATAAAATTCGTTTTCCGTTTAGGCTTTGACCACCTTTAACTAATTCGACGCGAATTTAGATCCGGCCAGAGCAGCTACCATAACTTCAACTGCTATCGCGACAACAACCACCAGCTGTACAACGATGGCACATACACCTGCTGGAGCGTTTACTACTGCCTTAACGTAAGTTTCTTCAAGTTGATGTTGGCACGACATGCTAATTGCTGGCAATAGGCTTGAGCAAGTTAACAAAGTACAACATCTCCCTCGCTGGAGGTGGCTTGTCTTGGTGGGAATTGTGAAACAACGGGTCAGGAATCAGGTATATAGGAATTAGATGGCTAAACTACCGCATACCGCATTGTTGAAGACACACATTCTGCAAATTCACCTTTACTTCAAAGACGTGCAGGGGGGCAGGTGGCTGATGGTGATCGACAACGCTGACGACACGCAGCTCGCCAGCTGGCCGGGAGGGTTTGGGCAGCACGTTCTGGAATGCGCGCACTGGTCTGTTCTCGCGACGACGAGGAACAAGGAGGTAGGGTCGAGGCTCACAAGGAGGGGACGGCTGATTGAAGTCAAGAAAATGGACGACAGCGAGTCGAAGGAGTTGCTCGAGAAGAAGTTCGAGGAAGACGGAATCGATTCCGACTTCTTGTCTGCACTTTCCTCTCGATTGGAGCGCCTGCCGCTCGCATTGGTTCAGGTCACCGCATACGTGCGGGGGAAGTCTGTATCAGTCCACAGATCCGGGAAGCAGCTGTACACTTTCCCAGCAGTGTGGGTATGCTCGCAGCATGTCCGGCAACAGTCTGTCCAGTCTCCGGAACACGGGCACATTCAGCGCCTGAGAAACCGTCGTGACATGGCACAGTTAACTGCCACCGCCCGTACCTGGCGATCAGCGCCGGGCGCAACATTCCTGTTTAGGCAAGTCTCGGTCCGTATGTCCGGGTGGAGACACACGGCAGAAGTGTGGGGACGGCGTGGCAGAGTGGGGAAGGACGGGCCGTGCCAAGATCTGGCGGCGACGGGGAAGTTGGTCTCGCAGTTGGCTGGAATCAACCCGCTCCCTATTTGAGCGTCCTACTTTCACATCAACGACGCAGACTGTCAGCGGTAACAACGAACAAAGAGCGTACATGTAAGTATAGAACCTTCAAGGTACAAAATCTTTCAAGAAATGAATCTCATGGGCCTAGATGATTTCTCCCGCATGGAACAAACAAACAACAAAACCTCCAGGCCCCCCACCCAACCTCTTCTACCTCTCCTAATGACCAACCGCCCGTCACCAACCTGCCTACCTACGTTACAAGTGGGCACACTACCCTACCCAACACACAACCTCTGGCCCACGCTAATATCACAATTCGCGTCCAAACCAGGATTCAACCCCCGGAATTGCCCCTCGGTCAGACCAAACTGCTCCCAGATCTTGGAGCACCAGTCGCCCGAAACGACAGTGTAGGTCGCCTTGCAGGCAGACGGCGCGGCGACGCAGAGCACCTGGCCGATGGCCAGGTCGCAGCTGGGGCTTAGCGAGGGGTTGAGCGCGCGGAAGGCTGACTCGGACAGGCCGAAGGCTTCCCAGATCTTGGCGCACCAGTCACCCGACTGGACGGTGTAGGTCTGTGTGCAGGCGGTGGGAGTGCTGCTTGGGGTGGGCGGCGGTGTCGTTGATGTTGCGGCCGTCGAGGAAGATGCAGGCGCGGTAGAACGGCACACGGGAGAGCTGGAGTCCCCTGGCATGTCTTCGTAGACACTGATACGCCATCCTCCACCACAGAGAACGTGCCCATCGCCGGAACACGGCGTACTACATTCCTCAGCGGGCGCTTGCTTGGTGGTATCGAGGCTATCACCGCACCAGCACTCCTCCCCATTCTCCACACCAAGGAACCGGTACCCATCACACAGCTGGGCGCACATAGTGGGGGTCATCTGCGCGCTAGTACCCTTCCCGACAGGCAGGAGCCGCGCATCGGCGTCGACATAGCAGTTCCTGAACTCCCAGCCACCACCCTCGTTGACCGGAGGGACCTCGTCGACTTCGTAGACGGTGATACGCCATCCGCCACCACAGAGAGCACCCCCATCGCCGGCACAGGGCGTGCTGCATTCCCCGCCAGTGGGTGCTTGCTTGGTCGCGTCGAGGCTGTCGCCGCACCAGCACTCTTCCCCGTTCTCCACGCCGAAATGCCGGTACCCGCAGCAGAGCTGGGCGCACGTGGAGGGAGTCATCTGCGAGCTAGCCCCCTTCCCGACGGGTAGGAGCCGAGTGTCGGCGTCGATATAGCAGTTACTATATTCCCAGCCCTGGACCTGCTTGACCTGAGGCCCAGCGGTCGTCGTGGGGGTGTTGCTGGTGCTGGTGGTGCTGGTGGTTGTGGTGGGAACGGAAGAGGAGGAGGGGCCCTGCACGCAGTAGGCGTCGCCCAGGAGGAGGTTGGAGCAGTCGGCCTTGAGGTCCGGGTTCCAGGCGACGAGCTGGGCCATGGTGATGCCGAGCGTGTTCTGCAGGAGGGCGCAGTTGTCGCCGGACACCACCACGTGCCACCTGTAGCACTGGGTTGTGGTGCCTGTCGGGGTTGGGGCTGGCGGCGCGACGGTTGTCGAGGTCGTCGGGTTGCTGCTGGGCACGTCGTTCCAGTCCACAGTCGGGTGGACGCAGTACCACAGGCCCGGGACGAGGTTGGTGCAGCCCGCGTCGATGGAAGGGTTGATCTCCTGGAAGAGGTCGACCGACACCTTAGCCGCGATGGAGACGCGCATGCACGTGTCGGCCGTCTGGACCTGGTAGTAGGCGCCGCATCGGTCGGTGGTCCCGAAGGGGGTGCTGCCGGGGGCTGGCACGATTGACTCGGCGTACTCTCCGAGGCTCCACGACGAGTTGGAGCCGGGAAGCGGGACGGGGGTGTAGCTGCCGTCGGGCGAAGTCACGCATACCACGGTGCCGTCGGGCCGGAGATTGCTGCAATCGTTGTTGATGGTGGGATTGAAGGCCCTGAACTGGGCAAACGAGATGTTGTACTGCGCGCTGAGGCTCCAGCAGTTGTCAGTCGGCCCCGTTTGTGCCGTGGTGCACGTCTTGGGCAGACATAGATTGAACTTAGAGCTGCTTTCGAGCGTCATCCTGGTGCAGTTCACACCGAGGTCATTGATGGAAGCCAGCGTGTCCTCCGCGACCGACTTTGCTAGGGCAATCGAGTGGCAGGTATCGCCGGCCTGGCTCATGTATGTATTGCCAGAAAGGCAAGTTCTGTTTGCGCCATCGGCCGTGTTGGGGAACGTCTCCTCTGGTGGAGGCTTGGGAGTGGTAGCAGCATCGACGTTACATCCTGCAGGTCGGCCGCATATTGTTAGCTCGACGTGTAAGTGAGATAGATGGGTCATCAGCGAACGTACGGGCAAAGATTTTGCGGTACGTTTCGACCATGGCCCCGTTGTAGCCAAGAAAGATGGAATTCTGGACTGTCCTCATGTTGTTGATTTGACAGTGGGAGCAGAGCACGGAATCAGGCAGATCCTCCAGCTTGGGGTTGCCGTTGGCAGCGTACTGCTCCTTCAGCCACTCTAACAGGGACGTGACATGTTAGCATTTCCGAGCGGAATCAACGCAGGACGCCGTCACATACGCGGGCAGTACTCCCCGGTGCTGGGATCCGTGTCACAGACCTGCATCCTCGCTGATTAGACCTTTTCTTTTCTCTTCCCCCTCGTAGACTCGCAGAGTACGCACCATGTTGAAGTAGTCGTAGATGATATCGCCTCTCCATGTGTTGGGATATGTGTCGAAGGCTCTAGACGCGCCACAGGCTGCCGTGACGGCGTCGTGGTACGCTACCAGTGACGACTTGCAGCTGGCGTCGCAGAGTCCCGAGCTAGCGCCGTTGAGAGAGACAACGTAGCCACTCGCCGCGAGCAGCTGCATCTGCGGGTCGCACGCCACCGTCTGGTTGAGGGCCGATGCACATTCGCTCGAGATGGGCTGGCTGTTACCAAACCCAACCTGAGCATCGACGGCGTTGCCAAAGCTGCCATCATTGCTGGTCCATGGGAAGAGGACAAGGTTCCCGCGGACCGCAACCAGAAGCGAGGAGCCGAGCAAGGCAAACGAGCGTAACATGATGACCTGAAAGCAGCTGCAGCGACGGACTCATCTGTCACCCGTCTGAACAACACCAAGGCTGGAGTGGGTGCTTGCCAATAAGTACCTGGGCCGAGACCTAGATTCGGCTCTGCGGGCCCCCGTGCCTCGAACGGCCCCTTGCTCAGCCTGGGCTGATCGGGCCCTTCTATGTACCTCTACTTGGGTACATTGTGTCCCAAGCGGGTGTTGAGGCGCCGACAAGCAGGTTGAGTTGCAGCAGGGATTTTGGAATTGATACTTGGATTACTGAACACAAAACTCCAAACCTCAGGTAGCTGTGGAGTGCATCTGCCAGGCACCAGTTTAAGATTCGCTAGCAACGCACGCTACCTGCCCAATAAAGGGGTTCTTCATCATCGCCGGAAATGAGGCTCTTGATACAGAGCGGCTTAGGTCCGGTCCTCCCGGAAGGTGTGCAGCTCAAGGAGGGTCGTGGGTAAGGCCCTGAGTAAGGACCACTCCACTGGCCATTATAAAATCATAGGCGAGTCAGCTGGCAGGGATACAATTCTCCTCGCTAAAAGGCGGATTACGCGCGTGTGGGGCGTCAGGGTAGCATTCAAGGGTGCGGCCGTTCAGGGGTACAAAGGGGTCGGGCCGCTGTAAGGTTGGATTGATGCGGGTAGAGTCTAGAAGCTGATCACTAATGGGCAGTTATGTAGAACATATGGACATGATCTAATTTGGCTGCCTGGAAATAGAGAAGCTAGACAAACCGGCGGGTCACGAAGGCGGCTATCCGGCACGAGGTACTGCCGAAGCTGTCGAGCCCCGGGCGCTCGACAATGCTGCCATGAATAAAAGCGTTGGGCTTGCCGGCTCAGAAGACTTGTCCTGACTCCCTTCTTGAGAGGCACCGTCGGAACGCCTTTCTTCCTTTTCACTCGCTTCAACGTCATGGCCAAATCTCGGATATGGCTGGCCGCGGCCAGGCCTGGCTTGGGGCTGTTCATGCTCCTGCTAGTAGCCGTCTTCGTTCTCCTTCCCGACACCGTCTCAGCCAAAGCACTGGCCGCTGCCGACGGACAGACGGGCGCTCCCGACTACACCTGCTCGCCGACCAAGCCTTGTGCCCTCGGGTGCTGCGGCAAGAATGGCATCTGCGGCATGGGCCCTGACTACTGCAGCGCAGAAAACTGCGTCAACTCGTGCGACGCCAAGTCAGAGTGCGATCCAGCGAACTGGGGCCCGCAGTATGCGGCCCATACCAACTGTCCGCTGAATGTACGTTCCAGACCATGACCTGAGCCTTAACCCTAAGTGAAACTGACGCTGTGAGAAATGCAGGTTTGTTGCTCCAAGTATGGCTTCTGCGGCACGACAGAGGAGTTTTGCGGCGGCACGCAGATCGCCAATCCTAGCTGCCCCGGCGGCAAGTCGGCGACGCGCCGGACCATCGGATACTACGAAGGTTGGGGCATTGGCCGAGCCTGCGATGCCATGCTTCCCGAGCAGATTCCGGTTGCGGCGTACACGCACATCAACTTCGCCTTCGCCATGATCGACCCCGTGAGCTTTGCCGTCGCCCCGATGAGCGCCGGCGACGTGGAGCTGTACTCGCGTGTGACGGGGCTCAAGTCCCTCTACCCAGACCTAGAGGTGAGAGAAAAATTGTAGCACTGGCTAAGTCGGCGCTGTTTTATGAACTTCTTGTTGATGTGCTCTCCCTCCCAGGTCTGGATCTCGATCGGAGGTTGGACCATGAACGACCCGGATCAGCCTACGGCCACGACCTTCTCGGATATCGCAGGCTCCACAGCCAACCAGCAGAAGTTCTTTGCCTCGCTGATTGCCTTCATGAGCCAATATGGCTTTGACGGTGTCGACATTGACTGGGAGTACCCCGTGGCCGAGGAGAGAAGCGGCCGGCCCGAAGACTACGAAAATTACCCCGTCTTCCTGCAGAACCTGAGAAACGCCTTCCAGGCCGCAGGCAAGAGCTGGGGGGTAACCATCACCATGCCCAGCTCGTTCTGGTACCTCCAGCACTTTGACATCGTCAAGCTCGAACCTGTCGTGGACTGGTTCAATATGATGGGTATTGCATCCCATTTTCATGCCACAACTTGGCACGCTCAGGATACGCTGACACGGATACTTTCCTTACCTTCCAGAGTACGACATTCACGGCACATGGGATTCCACGAGTGTTTGGACCGGCCGTGAGTTACATCTGTCCCCAGTGTAAGGCAAGGGAGCAGGCACTGACAGACATGGAACCAACACAGCCTACATCGCGGCCCATACCAATCTGACCGAGATCGACCAATCCATGAAGCTGCTCTGGCGCAACGGCATCAATCCCGCCAAGGTGGTTCTCGGTCTCGGCTTCTACGGCCGGAGTTACAAGCTGGCCGACCCGCAGTGCAACAAGCCCGGATGCACGTTCACCTCGGGGGCGCCCGGCGGACCCTGCACCGACTCGGTCGGCACTCTCTCGTACGGCGAGATCCAGCGGCTGATCCAGGCCGGCGCGACGCCGGTGCTGGACTCAGAGGCCGCCGTCCAGATGCTGACGTACGAGGGCGATAACTGGGTCTCGTACGACGACGAGACCACGCTCAGGATGAAGGTGGACTATGCGAATGAGAACTGCCTCGGTGGCACCATGGTTTGGGCCGCCTCGACCGACGACTCCAAGGGCTCGGCGGCGGCGGCGCTGAAGGCGGCCAGCGGCGGGACCCTGAGCCTGAGCACGCAGATGAACTTTGTCCTGGCGTCCGACAACCCCGGGCTGTGTTCGTGGACCCGGTGTGGCGGAAGCTGCCCCGCCGGTACCTCCATGGCGGCCTATGTCTTGGACGGCTGCCCGCAGCCCACGGCAAGCCCTTTCACCTACCGCCTCTTTTGCTGCCCGTCCAACGACATGCCAAAGTGCAAACAAAGCGCTGAAGACCTGTCCGGCAATGCCTGTAACGGGGGGAGCTGCCCGGCAGGGACCCAGCTTTTGACGACTACGCAGTTCATCCTCTTCCCGTACAATCTGTGTCCTGGTGGTGGCCACCTTAACTGTACGTGGTCTCCAGTGTGTGTCGATTGTGTTGTTCCTGAGACTGCGCTGACATCTCGCCTTTTTGATTTCTTTAGGGTGCTGTGACCGAAGCAAATCCGTAATCAACACGCTCGGCCAGTGTTCGTGGACCGACTGCGGCGGCAGCTGCCCGAGCGGCACTACCCAGCTGACGCAGACGCTCACCGGAGACGGCGGAGACTCGCCGTGTTCCAGCGGCCGGCGGAGCCTGTGCTGCCCGACCAGCGGAGGCAGCGGCTTCATCCCAAGCACCTGTGGCTGGTATCGCAATGCGTACCACGACACATGCACGCCGGGCTGCCCCTCAGGAAAGGTGCAGCTCGCCGTCGACTCGGCCGGCGCAAACTGCGCGCGCGGCTTTGGCTCCTTCTGCTGCGATCCACCCGTCAACTCGCTGGCCGGCCGCAGCGACCCGCAGGTGCAGGGCTTCAGGGCCCTTGTCCACGCCTTCGTAACCAACGGCGTATGTTCTCCGCTCGATCACCACGGCGTCACGCGCAAGAGGCAGTATGCCCCCTACAGTCACCCGACGAGCCACGACATGGCCATCAAGCTGGCGCCCCTCCTCTACGACTGGGATTGGTCTGAGAGCGAGAGAAAGTACATCACGCCGTTCCAGCAGACCTGGGACGACGAGGTCAAGGACAACGGCAGCCACTTCCCCAGCTTCGACTCGCTGGCCGACAGCCTGGCCAGCATCGACACGTCGACCAACAACGCGGTGGACTACCTCGACCGCAAGCTCTGCAACCAGAACGTCAAGGCCAGCTTTGATCCCATCGTGTGTTCCAAAACGACGTGCAGTGGCACCCGGGCCTGCCCCGTAAGATCCAAGAAACGCTGGATGGCGGACGTGCCGGACGACATCACCAACGTGTATTTTGACACGACGGGCGTGACGGCGGGGTCCGACTTCACCGATCCAGATGACGGCGCCGTCGACGCCACCCACTGGTGGCAGCAGGCCAAGAACCTGGATTGGTGGAAGGGTTCCAACCACGGCGTCGACCTCTTCAGCGGAGAGGAGATTGCCTCGTCCGCCTTTGTCGGTTTCTGGGACGATCCGGACCGGAACCTCGTCACAGGGGCCGGCCCGGTATGGGGATGCACGACCGTGGCGGTCGTGTCCAACTTCGGCGCGTGGACGGCGCATTTCTGGCAGAACTTCTTCGAGGACGACGCGTTGTTCCAGCAAAAGGTGCTCGACTTCCTCGGACCGGGAAACCCCGGCGAGCTCTATCCCGGGCTGAGCGATTACACTGCTCCCGGCGGGGCGTTTGACCTCGCCCACACCAGCTTCCTCGCCGTCGTCATCATGACCCCGCAGGCCTATCAGACGACACTGTTCGACGGCCTGACGAGGCCGCAGATTGTGCCGGGCTTCGGTCCGTTCTATCCGACGAGACTCGCGGCCATCCAGCAGAGGCTCGACGAGATTTTTGGAGTCGCCGACGGCACGCTAAACACGATTGTCCACACATATCGCTCGGACCAGCTGATCTGGAACTGGGAACCGACCATCACGCAGGACGCGGCCGGCACTCTGAATGTCCATTGGTCGTGGAGGTTGGATCGCTCTCCGCGCATGGTGACTGCTCCGTACACAGGCATGATGACCATCCAGCGGCGGGCGACCAACGTCCCCGGGCTGCGCCCAGCCGTCAAGATCTTTTGTGGAAATACACTCGAGTTCATCCACGAATGGTGAGGGGTCAACCTCGTCGTGCTCGGAGGCACACATCGGCTCGATAGGCAATCCCGCGGAGGGATGGTGAACGGCTATCGTATGTATCTTGTCCAAGCAATCCTATTCCACGTGCATCTGCCGCCGCATCCAGCGGTTTCCTACCTCGGAGACCACGGCATTTTGTTGCCTCAGGCGGCTCGCTCCACTCCAGCGTCCTTTTCCCTAAGGCACAGACTGATACGTATCTTTGTCTGCCGGCAGAAAAGCACCACCGTCTCGATTCCGTCTTCCAGGAAGCGTCCAGTTACGCTTGGAGCTTCGAAGCTGAATATACCCTTTGAAGCAATAGAATCGCAATCTGATGCCCTATCTACTGTATTTAGCGATTCTTTTACGTACGCCGATTCCCTTTTGCAGTCGTAGCTTTTTCTATGTTCTCGACTGGCTCTATTACTCTAACTCATTCCTATCACCTTTTCCTGTCAATCTCCCTTTGCTATTACCCGAGATTACGTTGCCCTGAATCACCGTGTAGGAGCCGACGCAAACCCACCGGCGAGGCCGTGACTAGTCCCTCCCTTCTCGGCCTCTCCAATCTTACTACTATTATGTGATTCCACGTGGAGATGCCGCTGTTTCAGGCAGGCAGCCGCCGGTACGATCGGCTGTCTTTCCACATTTGTGGGGCTGCCTTATAAGTAGCAAGTTCTACCTTAAGCAGCGCGCTTATATTGCTTAGAAGCTACGAGCAATCCCTCGTAGTATCCCTGTAAGCAGAGTGGGTATATGTGCTGGATTTGGCAGGTGGTCAGAGAGGGCAGTTCAGGGGTGGCTAATGGCTTAGCACCAGGATCGTCAGGATCAGGAACAGGTGATGGAGATCCAGAGACAACAGAAGATGGTAATCCTCAACGGTGGTGGTTCATGCAGTAGTGATGCTGGATGTGTGATAGGCTCTAGTGGGCAGGGCTGTAACCCCTGCACCAGATGTGGGGCAACCCGGTCTGCCAAGGATGCGGGGCACCACCCACAACAACAGGCGGGTAACTTTTTGTAATGCAGAACTTGCTGGCACGAGCGCTTAGAGTGGCCCCTTCGGGGAATAGCTGAAAATAATCTGGAGGAATGGACCACTGAGAGATCGATGCATCACGCCACAAACCAGCCCCAAACACGGGAGGCCCGTGGGAAAATACCACAGTTGCCATGGCGCGCCCCATAGTGGGGTCCAGCGCTGCTGGGCCGCTGCAAAGGCCAGACCACTTAAGCTAGCGGAACGCCAAGAAGTCGGAATGAGGGGTTTCGCGATCCAGAACCGGGCGTCGGTTCTCCCCTGTTGGTGCTGTCCGTTTGACGAAAACGATGAACCCGGCTGTGCCGCAGAAACGTTCAGGCTGAGTTACGCTGCAAGTGCGGCACAGTAATAGCCAATCGAGCACTGGCATCGCGTATCCATGCGGCTCGGGGGGGGATGACGAGCTGAGACCGCCCGCGTGTTGTTCCTGGGAATGCGGCTGTTGGTCGCCGTCGACGTGTCGGCGTCGGGCAAGGCCACGGGCTGCCATCGCCGCCGAAGTCAATCCCAGGACGTCAGGGCTGAGGCTCTTCTTCTCTAGTTGCGAACGCCTCCGGTGGTCACCGCTCCTGGAACCGGAGCGAAAACATACACCAGGGATTTGCTGGTCATCACCTCAGCTTGTCTTTTCAGGGAAGGGGAGTCAAAATACAGGGGGGTTCAGGGTCGAGGAGTGAGCGCTTTTTGTCCTGTTCGCGTCGTACGATTTACAGTAACTAACGGCAGAGCCCGCAGAACCGTCAGCTTCAGCCTTGCACTGTAAACACGTTAGCCGCTGTCTCGAATGGGCGAGGCGCCCAGCTCGCCCGCTGGGAGATTTGGATGGCTGAGCTCGAACAGCGCGGCGACCTGGCGGGTAGAGGCTGACAGGGGCAGCTGACCAGAGTTGCAGCTATCGCCAAACATTACCAACATCTTCGTCGGACACAAGATGGTTCCTCTCAATCGATCCCAGAGGTTGAAACGTACTGTTTCCCTGGGAGCTACAAGAAACGCGACAAAGAAGTTCGGTGGCGCAAGACGACCAGGCACCTTGGCGGCAAGCAAGATGGTAAGCTGGCCGGCCTCCTACTCTGTCACATCCGACAACCTCAATCGCAGGGTTCTTCGAAACATTGCAGCAGGATACCTGAACTGAATCATGCCCTCAACAGGCGAGTCCCGGCAACGATACTGCCGAGCCCTGGAAGGACTATCCATCGAGCCTCGAGAATACCGACCTTTCGCTCGAGTTCATGCCGGGCTGCGTCGAGCGCCTCGAGCGTGTTTCAGTAATCGCTGCGTCCCTAATGAGAGCTATACTGAGTTGTTAGAGTTCGGGGATTTCTAAGGCAATCGAGGTGGATGGCACCGGGCCTATGAACGGCGACGATGGGAAGATGGCGGCCCTGTCTTTGCAGTAAGGGTCCCCCTTCTCTCCTCTTGCCCCGAAACGCCACAGCAAGCAGGAAAGCTCTGGGGATTCCTGTGGAACGAAACACGAGAGAGAGAGAGGGGAGAGATAGAGAGAAAAAAAAGGAAACTAATAAGGAAACATTACAGTATCGTCCCGCATTGCACGGGCAACGACAACTCCAGGAAGAACAAGTTCAGCATCACGCCTGACGACTTGAAGAGGCTTCTTTACGACCTGCAGGTATCACCGTGTATGCTTTACGGACTCTTCCAACCCGTGCCGGGTGTCAGTCCGAAGATACAGTCAGAGGCTTACACCAGGTTGCAGAGGCTGGCGTCCAACTAAGGTTCAAACTCACCAGGTCAGGGCTCTATGCTTACTGGGTGCCTTACAGTAGAGAACGGGGGAACCAAGAGCAGTCGCCATTTGACAACAGTACCCACTAACTTGAAAGTTGCGTTTTGAGTTTGCCGTTCGCCAATTGACCGTGACTGGAACAGCTCCAACGACGAGGCCAGGCTCTCAGCCTGGTCTAGATCATCACCACGGGCATCGACACCGCCATCTTGCCGTAGGAGAGATGGCGAAATGTTCGCCTATAGGCCGGTCATGTACGTGACGATCCTTCCTGGCCTCGACGCGATCCTCGCCATCGTAGGCCTCGTCGTCTGCGTCCTCTGGATGATCCTCAGCATCATAAAACAACAAGACAACCCTCGCCGTCATTCACCCCAGGTCTGCACCGTCACTGCCCAAAACAACTCGGGCGCCAATATCACCCGCACCGCGGTCCGGGTCACCATCCGGGGAGGCGCTGTTGTTTAATGTTGGGAGGCGGGGAGGGATGGCCTGTTGTGTGCAACTCGAGCTCAACCAAGGGGTGGATCCGGCGGGCCAGCGACCAAAACACCGAAAAATGAACATACAACACCAAGGATTTGCTGGTCGTCACCGACCCAACTACTAGTTTGGCCCTTACTAGCTTATTTCAGGGAGAGCGGACGGGATCCCAAGTTCTCTAGCAGGTATGGTCGTATGTGGTGGTTGGGTGCTGTTGTGGAGTTGAAATGGTAGAGCACAGACGGAGTTGCAATACCAAAAATCAACATTGGCGCAGGCAGCATAGGAGAGCACGACTGCGTGTACGCCAGACGCGAGCAAAGGAAGCAGGTAGAGCATTGACGGCCGCATCTATGATAAATGCCGGAGTAGGTAGTTAGTCAGTGAGGATAGGTAGGTAACGTTGACGGTCACTTATGCTTTTTCGTCTGGCATGACCTCAGGGCAAAACGTTTATTATACTCCCAATGGCGCATAAGGCGCGGGGTAGGAGGGTGTTGATGCCCAATTTGCCCGCCACGTGCTAATGTGTGAGCATTGTGATTGATGAAAGCGGTTACACCAGTACCGGCCAAACCGCAGCTCGCCAGTGTCACAAGCAACCGGCCAGCCAATAATTAGGTAGTGGGTAGGTAGCCGCTATGGGTTGGCCGTCAACGGAGCTGTGCTGTTGCCGGTCGAGATTCGGCAACTGCCTTACCACAGTAACATCATTTTCTGAAAGGTTGGGATCCGCTCAGTCCTTTACTAACGTACTCTTGATACACGACCAGAGTATCATAAGCGGCGTCGCCGTAGTCATTGTTATAGATCGGCTCGCTGCGAGAGCGTTGACAATAGGGAGCGAGTGGCATTTTCACGGGTCTTCGCAGGTACAGTACTTGACCATTTAGCCTCCCGCACACGGCTGCAGCTACTTTCTAAAGCCCAACGGTTGCAAGCAGCCCTCAGCCCGTTCCTCCAGGTTCCTTTGGCGGGCCGCTTGCGGCACGGTCCCCCTGTAGCTTGCTACTAATCGGGATATAATATCCCATATCTGGGAGTCTGGCAACAGAAAAGCAGTTTCCCTAGAGACGGCTCCCTGCTTGCAGGACAACACCGGGGTCAAGCCCCCAGACCCCTGGCAGTGCCTGACAGCGACAGTGCTACAGAAGATTGCCGGAATGCCCACAGGTTTTAGAGCCAACCAGATTACAGCGAAGACTAACCAGCCGGTGTCAGTGCCATATGCTGTCCTTCGCCGTTGAAGCCGGGGGTCTGAGACAGCGCCACTCTGTCCCGCGAAGCCTCACGCACTCTCCCTTCCCAAACCTTTGTGAGCTTACCGTCATAGTACGCCCACAACCTAGGGAGGAGATGGACATCTTGGACACAATAACGCCTGATTTCCGCATGGAGAGGCCGCTCATTAAAAACCTGGTAACTTACCCCACGCTCAGGCGCAAAAAGCCTGGTGCCTCGCTCCTTGGTGGCCAGCCAGGAACTCTTCTCCGTTTCGCTCAGAGAGACATAGCGCTCGATGCACCGGGCCAGCCCGCGGACGAACCTCCGCGGGAACGTGCGCGTGGCGAGCTCCATCAGTTGCAGGTTTTGGACGCCGGCGAGACGGATCTGGAAGTGGCTGAACAGCGCATCTGAGTCGCGTCGGACATCGAAGAAGACCTTGGGGACGGTCTCTGACTCCAGGAAGTCCTTGAAGGTACGACCTGTGGCCGAACTGGGGGCGCAGAACGCCTTTTCACCGAGGATGTGGATGTCGACGAGGTATGCCTCGCGACGGGGCAGAACGTAGATTTGAAGAATGGATATAGTGCCATGTCTGGAAAGTTTTGACTCCCTCGAGGTCGATGTAGAGCGAGGGCGGCGTAGTGGGCTGGCCTTCAAGGATATCCACGAGGGCGGACATGGCCGTAGCGGTGTCGGTGAGATCGCCGGAATCCGGTGTGTCGGTATTCATGTTTTCCGTGGGTATTAGCAGGTTTAGCTCGTTGTTCAGATCCTGGACAGAGGCAGAAGTCGATATGTTTCCTGGCCCCAAACGTTAGTGACGGGTTGCCAGTCTGATGAGTAGGTACGGCTAACATACGTGTGAGGAATGCTCCCGAGGATTGTCGCTAAGTGTAGGCAGGTCTCAATAGAATAAAGGGCACGAAGACGGACGCGGTGGAGATCTCTAGTGGGAGGGCATTGCAAGTTGCATTTTGCAACAGTCAAGCTCGTTGTCACAGAGGCCGGTTAGGATATATCGACCGCATTCTCCTCGATTCGAGACGTGGAGTCTTAATCTTCTAACCCATGGAATGTTGCAGCACCGGTGTGTCTCATGTCCGTTTGTCACGGCAGCAACCCGCTGACGCCAATAGGAATAGTACTAATAGGCTAAGCAGCACGGTGTAACAAACGGACAAGCCGACCAATCGACGGCTTCCGCTGATGCAGCAACGCCGAGGCAGAAAAGCCATGATATCGACGACTGTTTCATAGCGCCCTTGGGCAACCAAGGCCGAAATCCACCCGTTTTGCCGACAAACGCATCCAGCGAATACGGAACTTCCCTGTTCCCGTCGGCTGGACGCGCAAGTTTGGCTGCGGTGTCCAGCCAGATCGGCGACCCCAGCGACTAAAATGGCCAGGATTCCCTCAACGACAACAGTGTTGGCAGCAAGCCGGTGTATCGCGGCCCAAGGCTAACAGGTTGGTGTCATCTACGTATCCGATGGTTATAAGCCCTGTATACACCCCAAGACGGTGGTATAGAGGGAAACTGAAGAAAATTCAAATCTAAGCGTATCTCTCCATTGAGCATGATCGTAGCATTATGGGAGCAAATTCATTTAGTTTCTGAAAACCTGTTTTACGGCGTGAAAGAGTATCGTTCTACTAGGTTACATGCCAGTTGACAAGTCAAGGCACGAAAATGTCTGGGTTGTCCTGAAACGACAGGAGGCAATACCATAAGTCCAGGCCGACTTGGAGCTTAGCATACAAAGAGACAAGGTCATCGATCCTGACGCGCTTTCTCAGATCCCACATCTCATCCTCCTCCGCCTCTCTCTTATCCTCGCAAAACCTGTATACACCTTCTCGATCCCTCTTAATTTCCCACAAAACCACATTGCCCGGCATCACCACCGTGCAAAAGTACCCGCTCTTTTCCCTTGCCTTCGCATCGTCTACCACGCTCTCCAAGCTCTCCTCATCGACGTGCAAAAAAGAACTCGTGCCTCGGCGAGCCGCCCATGAACAACGGAACCACACTGCCCGCCAGCTTCTCCCCGCCCAAGCCCCGCTGCAACCAATCGACGAACCGACGGCTCGTCTCGGCGATATCGGCGCCGTCGAGCCCAGCCGCGTCCTCGAAGACGGTCCAACGCATACGTGCATAGACGTCCATGAGCCCGGCCTGCTCAAAGCGCTCCCGGGCGTGCCCCTGGACGCGGGCAAGGAACTTTTCCCAGTTCTCCTGCGAGCGGTAGGTGCAGCGGAATAGGACGAAGCCCCAGCAGAAGAGTCTATGTAGCTCGAGGGCGTCCTTGATGGTGTGGGCATCGCCGGGTGGGTTGCAGGCTAGAGTGCGTAAGTGCTTGGGAAAAGCTTGGTGAGCCGTTTTAGCCTCCGCGTTTTGTATGGCGGCGGCTGGCAACGGAGCTTGGGGTTCGGGGGTCCGGATTTGTTGAGAAGAAGGCGGGAGATTGCGCTTTGCGCTTGGAGAGGAGAGGGTTGCCGTTGGAAAAAGGAGTTGGCAAGGGGAAGAAGGCGACGAATTGGATGTACCCGCGCTAGGACCGCACGCGGTAAAATCAAAGCCATCATATCATGTATTAATGGCTCAAATGAAGCGTGTCGGTTAAGGTCTGGCCTCGAGTTCACGGGTATTCAGCATTCCGCTCTGGCGATTCAGTCAATAGAAAATCCCATGGGTTCAGATACTATAGGTAAGCCAACACCCCTCCTTTTTACGGCTCCCAATACCCCTTCTTCTTGACAAACCCCCCCACCCTCTGTACATCACATGATAAAGCGAGCGGCGCGGATAAGCGCGGTAACAGTTCTTTTGCTCTAAGCGCACGGCGACCATTGTGGTAAACGGGTTCACGTCGGAACG